TTTGTTAGAATTAAATAAACAATAATGAAGGTTTTCTGACAGCACATTGAAGCTTTGAAAATAACTACAAATAAACTATATATCAATCGTTGCTTTTTCCCCCAGAAAGATGCAGTGTTAACCCTAACATTTTATTTTAAGATTTAACATTTGTATATTGTCTAATTCTGAAAATCTTTTAGAGCTTATGATTTGTTTAAAAAATAAAACATATTATACATTAATGAATAAATCAGTATATATACAATTATTCAATTTACAAGTGTCATGTTTGTTATTTTTTTCATTTAAGCTATAGCTTCTGACCTTTATATCAAAACCTACTCATTATTTTATGACATCAATTACTGCTTTATTTAATCAGAAACACAGTCTAAATGTTATTTGTGTAGGCTATTTTACTTTTAATTTTATTAGAAGTAGGCCAACAGCGCCCCCTACAGATTAAAACTCCTTACAGAACGGGCGTTAGGACCTGGGAGAGGCTGCAGCTGCTGCCACTGCACATGCTATTACTGTTTACTCTATCACACCAAACGCATCATGCTGTACGTGCTTTCACAGATTAAATGCAGCGATCCAAACAGTGAATCTAATCATCATTCAGACAAAACGTTGCTTTAAGAATTTTATTCCTCTTATCAGCAAGACATATCGGCATAATTTTTCATATCGGGCCGATGCCGATATTTACACTTGAAGCCATTATCGGCCGATTCCGATATTAGTCCGATAATACCGTGCATCCCTAGTAGTTTGTGATATATGACGTAACCACCACCACAGCTGTTAAATTTATTTGGTCATCTTTATTTCCCACAAATACAAAAGCAACAGGTATTCTTTTTCCTGTTGGATTTTATTCTTCCATTATTTGGTATTGTGGCCATCTCCTCTTCATCTGTTCTTCATTATTTTGCAAGCCTTCTTACTGTTGGCTGAGTAGAAGTCAAATGTTAATTTAATTACTCTAAGAAATGAAGCAGGTTGGATTAGAGAATATTTAATTATGTGAAAAGTGCATTAGACTATGTGGAAAAAGCTGCCGCGCACTGAAATAGACACTGAATGATATTTATTTAATATGTCAAATGTTTGTAAAGTCATGTAGTCTACACTCATGAACCTTTTATGCTTAAAGCTTTACCTTGATTGAATTATGTTTTTATACTTCATGTTTAGCTGCTTTTGTTGTTGTTGTTCTTTTTTTCTTTCTTTTGCCTGTAGGATACCATGAAAGTTTATATTACTTAAATAACTTACCATTCTGCCAATTTTTACCTTTGATATTATAACAGTAATTAAGAATGAAAGTTATGTATTGACTCAGAGGTATGCGGATGTCTTTTTGCCGGGTGCTGTTGCCATGGTGAATCATAATTTCTGAGCTCCATTGATCATGGCTTTTCATAGTCGTGATGCACGCGCTAAACTCAGAGTCAACCTACTCAGAGTCGATAGAACTAACTCAATTCAGCCATTCTGAACCCGAAAACTCAAGAGTTTCCCATCTCAGGGTAAGTCAACTCGGAGTTGGTTGAACCTCCTTATTGAAATGGGCGCCTGGAAAACAAATCAAAAATAAT